GGTTGGGAAACGCTGGACTAGATGACCTACAAGATCCCTTCCAACTCTGTTAATCTGTACCTGTATCTACCTATATAACAGAAGTCAGACAGGTTTATCCTATGTAGTTATTCAAAGATTAGTAAAGCTCACCTGCCAAAACAAACATTTTCTGCTGCAGCAAAGCGTCTCGCCTCGCTTTGCTGGCCTTCTGCTTTCTTCCCGAATCACGCCCCTTCCAGTCCCCGGTTCTCTTTTGGGCCAACCCCACCCCACCGACAAACACCTGTTGTGAAAACATCCGGTCCACGAAGGCAGGAGCCCTTCCCATCGCCCAGCGCTCCGGCCCCAGGAAGTTCACCTGGGCTTCAAAAACCGGTTTCTTCGGCTCCCAGGGTCGCTTGGGGCGTTGGTGCAGCTGAAGAGCCCGGAGAAGCGGGGGGCGAAGTAGAGACTATGGGATCGTCTCACTTTCCCCCAAACACCACTTTGGGAGGGAGGGTGAGCAGGCGTGAGTTTCTCTCCCAAGGCTGGTATTTTGCAAACGAGGAGGTAAGGAGAAGAGAGGCTGGCGCCGAGGGCTCTTTAAGGGGCTAGTTTAGAGCAGCGTTTCTCAACTTCACCAATCTGAAGAGGGGTGGACTTCAACTCCCAGAATTCCCCAGGCAGCATACTGGGGAACCTGCTGGCTGAAGAATTTTGGGAGTTGAAGTCCGTCTTAAAGTAGCGGAGGCTGAGAAAGCTTACTTGGAGATCTACTCTGAAGTAAGATCTGTTAAAGCCCCCCGGGGTTTCTTAAGTAAGGTGAGCACAGCAGCGGCAGAGGACAGTGTCCAACCCAAATGGGCTTTTCTTGGAACAGGTATATAGAGTCACCCTGGTTCCAGAAAGTCAAGACAAGCTGTAAAGCTGCTGGACACTGCACGGATGCAGATACCAAGAATCCCCTCCCTTGAAGGATTCTCCGTTTCTGAGTATAAATAAGGATCCTACTCATTGCTGCACTGCAAGAATCTTAGACTGGGGGTTAAAATGGGCTAACTTTACACTGCGCTGTGTATCTCATCAGGCCCAGTTCACATTTCTCCTCCTGTGATTTAGAACCATTGCTATGTGCTCAAATAAACACAGTATAATCAGATCCTATTCTTCGCTCCACCTCCCTATCCCATATTTTGAACATGCCTGGGTTCTTATTTCGAATTTGAATCCAGGCACCATTAGAATTAAAGGAGAAAGGAGTTTGCTCCTGTTGCTAAGCATGTCTATTGGGGATTAAGCATCACCCTTTGTATAAAAAGACAACATGCATTACATCAATAACAAATTAAAAATGATACATAAAATGACAATTTACTAACATGCTTTTTAATCCAAATTGGCTGAAATCTTAAAGGTAAACAGGGAGGAGTTCTTTTGGGAGCTCCTGAATTGGAGAAGGTCCACTTTTTAATTTGGGTAAATTATCGTAGGGAAAAAAATCTATCTGTTGTTTATTGTTTTAACATTCCAGTTTAAGCATGTTTTAAAAATTATTTTTTAGCATGAGCTTTGGTGTTAATGAACAATTGTCATTTTAATGAGGGATAAGACACATCTCTAACGTTTGCCTACTATAACTGGATTTAAATTTGCCAGATGTCTTCCATAGCAAAAATAAAGTATTCCATAGAATTGGAAAAGACCTTTTTGGGAACTAAGTGTAACCTACTGTTTATTGTTTTAACATTCCAGCGTAAACATGGTTTTAAAAATTACTTTTTAATGTTCCATTGTAATTATTGTCTTCAAGTAGGGAATGGAGGGAGGTGGGTTTGTTGTTACTGCATCTGTTGAGATGAGATTCACTTCATTTCTGATGGTCTAGATCCACTTGTCTTTTGTGCTGCTAAGAGAATGGTTCATATTAATTGTCTGATTCATATTCCTGTTTTGCATCATGGAAATAAGAGCCAATTTTTCTCTTTTGAAAATTCAGGATTATTTCAGAAGAGGTTTAGCAGTTATTTAAAACCATTTATAGAAGTTTAGTCTACAATAATGTAACTTTGAATGTTCACTGCTCAGTCTTCTGGAGACTTAAGGCACCAGCTCCCAGCCTTTTGGGNTCCAGGAGCAGCTGGAGCGTCGCGCAGATGCTAGTACACATGCATGCACCGCGCGCGTGCACGAGGATGCCGCCGGCCCCGTTCCAACCGAACCGGTTGGAACGGGGCGAGAAACCCACCCCTGGTGCTATTGCTGTTGCTATTGCTAACTGGGCAAAATAGTGTCTTGGGGCACCCAGTACCCCAAGCTGCTCTAAACCTTCTTCCTGCCAATCTCCAAGTATCTCCAAGTATCTAAGCCCAACACTTTATTCTCCATATAGCCAAAGTTCATACAATTACACAGTGCAAAGGTAGTGACATGAACTCTGTTCTTCTCAATCCCATTTAAAGCAGGACTCCAAATTAAAATATGCCTGACACATGGTTGTTCAGTTCTTACAAATTTTACAAATGAAATTACAAATGTCATTGGTGAACTTTCTTTAGTATCTCCTTATTGTTAGAGCCTAGAATGCAAGGTCTGAGGAGAGGAATTGAGCAATGCAGAAGAGATAAAGACCACTGTGCCTTATCTAAAGGATCAGGGGCAGAAGATCCAGCCCAGGAGGAATCTGTAATCCCCAGGCCAAGTAGTATTATAGAAAAATATAGCTACTAATGTTGAGTTCACTTGCCTTAGGAATACTCCTAAAGGTGCAATCTTTGCAGTCTAATAGAGCGCACTGCTCACTAAAAGCAGAAACTTTGAGACCCAGAAATCACCCAATATTGTCATAAATTGGAGTTAGCTGTGTCAGTATGAAAAATGCTTTAGATCTCAGCAGATAAGCCTTTACAGCTGTTTAATGCTGCATGGAATTGATCTCTCAATTGGCCAGTTCTTCTTTTTAAGGAATCAACATTCCTGAACTTGACTTTAAGAATTGGACTCGTGTTTGATTTCTTGGCTTCCGTGACTGCTGGACTTCCTACTATCTTGCAGTCAGCGGGTATTAGTGTTTATTGCTGGCAGAGATCATAAGCAGGATAATTATTACTTCCAATCATGTGGAAATTATACTTCTTTGACGTATCATAAAACTGTTTTTTAATTTAAATCACAATGCTGAGTCATATTTATTTATGATCAGTTATAGTTCCCGGCTCTTCATAAATGCTGCCAAGACACGTGATCCCTATTCTATACTTGTGCATTTGATTTAAATTTCCTTATTGACCAATTTAGTATTTATCTCATAACATTTCATTCTGATATTTCTTTGACCTTTAGGGATTGTTTTTTTGTATTCTAGTTTATTCTATGTTATCTGAAGAGTTGAAAATCACCTTTTCATCTAAATCATTATGAAAATGCTTAAGAATATGTGACCCAGGACAAAAGCTGAATATTGTATTCAACATGGTGGTTTGGTGGGAATCTATTGACAAATACTTTTAGTATGGTTTTTGAAGCAGCTCTGAATCCATTAAATGGTCATGCCATCCAATGCACTTCTTGCTGTTCAGAATATCCTGGGATGCATTGCTATAGTAAAATCAAGTTATCTTATGTCCACAGCATTGCTATACCTATTAAATAAATTATTCAACTAAAACTTGAAATAAAATTAGTCCAACAATTAGTCCAAAGATTTGTTCTTGAAGGTGCAATACTGATGTTTAATAATTGCAATTTTGTTTAGAAGCAATTACAGACTGACCTTGTTGGGTTATGCTCTGAACAGTCAGGTCTGTGATCCACCCAATTCTTATTGAATGAGAAAATAGATACTTTTGTGTGGGAGACACTTCTTTGATACTCACAGGGAAACAGCCTGATACCAGATAAGACTACTACCAAAATAGGTCATAGGTGGAAATTCGCTTAATGGCCCATTTCACTCCAGATGTAAACTTAGAAGGAAGAACATTCAAATGCATGGTATAATTTTTTTTCTTCAAAATTACACACAACCCCCCAAATATGCATCAAATCATAAAATATTAAAATTGTATTTTAAGTTATTTTAAAAAGATATTACCTGGAAACAATCTACTGAAAAACAGCAAGAGTTGCCTTAGCACCACCCACACCTTTTGTTTGATAATTAGGGGCCAATGATGCCGGCAGGTACCTTGTAAATCTCAGGAATAATATTAAGAGCTGCAACATCACAGGACTTTATCCAGTAAGTGGGGCATTTTAATTGGTATAATTTGCATTTCATAAAAAGCAAGTCACTGAGCAGCCCTTTAAACCCTACCAAAGCAATTGGAAGCTTAGAAAAGATTATTATTAAGCACATATGATATCAAATAAAAGTGAGGCTCTGGTATGCTAAGTTTTCCAAGTTCTTTAACAATGATATTTTTATATGTGTATCTTAGTCTTCCAGCATATGTGATTATTTATCTTCCTATCTCTTGATATTTCTCATTTGTTTTGATTTTTGGTTTTTATTATTTTTATTTATTAAGAATTTTTCCATAGAATAAAAGATAAAAGAAAAGAAAAGAAAAGAAAAGAAAAAAGAAAGAAAGAAAGAAGCGCACAAAAGAAAAAAAGGAGAAAAAAATGCTCACATTAAAGAATATATAAATGAGTTCCAATACTCTTTTCAACAGATAATTACAATTCTCATTTGTTCTGGGAGGTCCAAAATCAGCATGATGATTTTTTGCTGTCTTCTAAATAGGAGATAAGGAAGATTACACCAGAGAACATAATATATTGCTGGGAAAGGTACCAAAAAATATGGAAACTCTTAAGAAATCCATAGGCCACCGTTCAGTGATAGAGACAGGCTTTGAACTACCTGAGTTGGAATGGAATGGAATGGAATTTATTATTTATATGCCGCCCTTCTCCGGGAGGACTCAGGGCAGCGAACAATCCAAAAAGGGAAAGNTTGGCCATTTGAAGATGTGTGGACTTCAACTCCCAGAATTCTGGGAGGCTGGGGAATTTTGGGAGTTGAAGACAGCTGTGGAAAAAAAAAGGGGGGGGGGACTGGCTGGCTTTGATCCCATCTCCCACGAGAAGAACCCTGTTACATGGGCAGAGTGGCAGACTAGACATGGCTGTCTGTTTCTGAAGAGGCTACAGTGATGTTTAATTGAAGCCAAAGAAACATATTGGTAGTTAAGCTGGCAGGCATATGCATTCCTGCGCTCCAGTTGCCTGAAGCCATGAATGAGTGAAATTAAAAGGCATCACTCAGTACTGCCCTGTTGGGAGTTGTCTGGTTTCCTACAGTAATTGCAGCAAGACTGCTGGGTCAACTGCGGTGAAAAGAAATGCTTAAAAATAAAATAAATGCAGTTAGTCCTCAACTTACCACCATAATTGAGCCTGCCAGTTACAGTTGTGTCTTGACGGTCATAAAGTAGGTCGATCATGTAACCCATCCGATTTTATGATCTTTTGGTGGCGTTTGATAAGCAAACCCATTGAAAAATGCTGGTTTGGGGCAAAACTGTAATAAAATCACGGTTATGTGGCTACAGGATGCTGCAAACAGCCATAAATGTGGACTGGTTGCCAAGAATTTGAAATGCAGTCATGTGATGCAATCGGGTTGTCATAACTTCAGAACCAGTTTATAAGTACCTTTTTTGGGAGAAGGGAATGTCATAACTTCAAATGGTCATTAAGTGACCAGTCGTAAGTTGAGGATCCCCTGTAACGGTTTGTCCTACCTAATCAACGTGGCCCCTGGTAGAAAAATAAAACGAGGCGTAATAGCTTATCGTATCCACAAACATACAATAAATTAATTTGTGTCTTGGTGGCATGAAGAATTTTTTAACTGTGAGGAGCTGTCCATGGTATTCCCTCCCTCCTGCATTGAGAGGCCCTTTGTGGATTTCTTTTGTTTTTAAGTAAGGTTTTAAAGTGATCTTGCACCTCGTGGCCAATCTGGATGGTTTTTTTTTAATTTCGTGTGTTGTTCACAATGCTGTACAAGCTGCTTGACTCTAAAGCCAGCTTAAATTCTATACTAGTAATATTCTTCAAAGAGCAAAGATGATACTCAGGAGGGGGTTTGCAATCAGCAGAATAAATGATGTTTAAGACTCACACAAGCAGTTAGCAAATTGTTCATGCTGCATCTGGAAGCGTTTTTGTTTTTTTTAAATTCACTGGCAGTTTTGTGATAATTTTGAGAATACAGGTAGTCCTTGGCTTATGACCACAAATGAGCCCAAAATTTCNTGTGCATCGTCCCCTCAGGCTGTCCTGTGGAATCGGACGCAGCAACCTGAAGACAGGCTGCCCGTCCAGGGCACGCTTGACGCAAGATCCTCCAGCTCCTCTTCTTCCAATCATTCGGAGAACTTCTCGAGACTAGGCAGCAGTCCCCTCGAAGTCCCTAAGACCAGGTGAGAGGCCGTTCGTTCCTGTCAGCTTCTTGGGAAGGGGGGACGGGGGCTCGGGCGTTGCTAGCAAGCATAGGTTTGAGCAGGGCTCCTCCTGGGAACAGAGGAAATCCCTGATCCTTATTGGGGAAACATTTTTTTTTCTGTGTTTGGAGGAAGCCTGGTCAGGCGGACGCATGCAAGCGGTTGCTGAGAATCTTCTGGAAGCGTCTCCAATAACTTCCTAGAAAAAGCAGCATGAGCTTTTTTGCCTCCTGCAGTAGAATAATATTTACAGCAGCAATTTAGTGCTTTTCAGCTACACCTGGCTTCTGCCACCTGAGAGGCTTGTTTTTGCTGCCATAAATAGGGACTTGGCTGACACAGGGAAAGTGGAGATAAGGCTCTAAATTTAATGGTTGGCATCCAGAGTCTGGAGGTTTAGAGAGTTGTCACCATATCGGAGGAACAAAGAGCCGTAATGAACTGAATTTGGGACAGCTAGAAGATTCAGCTCAGTTCTTTTCCGGTTCCGATGATTTCATGTCTGCAATTTATAGGCTTGTGTCCATGGCTTTCTGGTTGAAAAAAATATAGTCATCAAGATGAAACAACGCTGAGTTTTTTTTAGGATGCAGAGTTCTATATCCAGATTTAAAGGGACATGGGGAAAATGTTTATTCAGCATTAATGTAAACACAGAAATCTTAAGGCGCTTGTAGAAAGGTAGCATGCGTGTATATGAGGTCCTTCCAGACCCCTAAGAAGGATGCACAGTGGATTTATGTAACTGGGAGAGGACACGAACAAGTGGAAATGAATCACTAGAACTGCAATTTAAAGGCTGATGGGAAGGGAAAGAATGCCCCACCCATTTGGGTGGATGCAGTTCAACAGCACAAGCCTAGTTCGATTATAATACAGGTAAAATTGAAATGCAAATTTGATGAGGGTTTTGCCTTTTTGGCCAGGTAAGTCTTCTGCTATAATTCTTGTTGGTCAAAGTCTTCAACCTATCAAAGATGTATTTAAGATACCAGAGCGGAGTTCAGTTTTGTCAAGGGGAAGCCAAAATTACACAGTATTTGCTGTATTTGTAATAGACCTTGACCATAGGCAAAAAATGACAGTGAGGCAAGCCAAAATGAACAGGTGCTCAGGTTGTTTTCATTGGAAAAGAAAGATTTTGGGGGAGATCCCATGCAGGATTTTCTTCTTGAAACTAGTTCTCCATCTAGGGGTCTATTGAACTACAGGAATGTGTCCCAGATTCCCCCCTCCTCCCAATTTTGGTTACGCATTTGGCTGGTTTGGATTCAAATGTTGTGTCCTGTTTCATGTGTCACAGTTTGGTATTAAGGTGTTTTTTTACTCTAGCTTGACTTGCTTATTGCCTAGAAACCTAG